CTGGAGCCTTGCAGTGTCTGCAATGGAAGACACTGTCATGCAGATTCGGGTGTCATCTGCAAAGGAAGACACGGTGGTGTGGCTGACATCCTTGTCTATGTCGGATATGAGGATGAGGAACAAGATGGGACGAGTACTGTGCCCTTTTGGAACAGAGCTTTTCACCGTAGCTGCCTCGGACTTTACTCTGTTGACGACTACTCTCTGTGTTCTGTTAGTGAGGAAATTATAGATCCATCGATCGACTTTCCTTTTTATTCCTTTAGCATGCATTTTGTGCGCTATTACGCCATGGTCACACTTGTCGAAGGTTTTTTGCAAAGTCTGTATATATTACATCTGCATTCTTTTTGTCTTCTAGTGCATTTAGGACCTTGTCGTAGTGATCCAATAGTTGAGACAGACAGGAGCGACCTGTTCTAAACCCATGTTGCCCTGGGTGTGTAACTGATGGGTTTCTAGATGGGTGGTGATCTTGCTTCTTAGGACCCTTTCAAAGATTTTTTATGATATGGGATGTTAGTGCTATTGGTCTGTAGTTCTTTGCTGTTGCTTTACTGCCCCCTTTGTGGAGTGGGGCTATGCCCGTTGTTTTTAGTAACTGTGGACGACCCCCGTGTCATCTCCCCTCTCCATAGGATGGAAAAGGCTCGTGATAGGGGCTTCTTGCAGTTCTTGATGAACACAGAGTTCCAAAGAGTCTGGCCCTGGGGCAGAGTGCAGGGCATGTCATTTATCGCCTGTTCGAAGTCATTTGGCGTCAGGATAACTCGGATAGGCTTGCGTTAATCAAATTTTGTGGCTCTCTCATAAAAATTCATTTTGATCTTCGACTCTCAGTCTGGTTAGGGGTTTGCTAAAAAACTGAGTCATATTGGGACTTGAGTTAGCTCACTCATTCCTTGCTGTCATCTGTGTAGGACCCCATCTTTTAAGTAGGGGCCAATACTGGACGTTGTTCTCGATTTTGATTTGGCATAGAGAAGAAAAAACTTTGGGTTTCTTTCGATTTCAAATTTTGCTTTTTAGTTCTTCCAGCGATTCCTGACTCCTACAGGATTCTTTTAGCTTAAGTTCGATGCTTGCTATTTCTCTGACCAGTGTCTCTCTAAAGCATTTCAGATATATTGACCTCTTTTAGCCGCTCTGTTATTCTTTCCGCGCCTGTAAAGGGAGCGCCTGTCTCTTTCTATTTTACATCTACTCCTCCTTTTCTTAGAGGGAAAAAGCCTTGTGCATACATCGAGTGCCACCGAGTTAATCTGTTCTAGACATAAGTTGGGGTCTGTGTTGCTTAGTATATCTTCCCAGCTTATATCGGTTAGGACTTGGTTTACTTGGTCCCACTTTATGTTTTTGATATTGAAGTTGAATTTGTGATGCTCCCTCGTGACTAGTCTCATTAGGGTCGGTCTGGGGCCACGCATACATGTCTGAACCAAAATTTATGTTGTGTTTCTGAGTATATTGTTTTTGATATGGTGACATTTCTTATCAGATATCATTGTTAGTGAAGATGAGGTCTAGTGAAATTCTCCAGTCTAGTAGCTCCTTTTTTTTGCTGTTTAAATTGAATTTTGTGCAGAGATTTAAAAGCTCGTGTGTGTGTGAGTTTCATCAGAGCTGCCTCCTGGTGTTATTACGGGCCAATTATTATTTGATAATTTCCTCCATTTTAGGTGCCTTAAGTTGAAATCCCCCAGACCCAAGAGTGGGTGCGGGAGCTGGAAATTTCCAGACTGTCATTTTTTAACAGCTGTTCCTGGAATTGCTGGGAATTTGCATCCGTAGGTTTGTAGATTTACCAAAAGATAGGTTTTTGGTTCTCAAACCTTTACTGCTAAAACTTCCACTACATCATTTGAAGGCCCCATTAAGCAGTTCTGTGAAAACCCAAGTGACTCAAACCCCTCCCAAACCATAAACTGATGGTAGAATAGGTAATACTCTGTCTTTTAATATCTTGTCTATTATAGCTCGGGCATAAAGTCATTTTGATTTGGAAAATCTTCACATTCCTGTAAATGGCGAGTTTCTGTAAAAAGTTAGGACTTAATTTGAACTGAGAAAGCAAGCGTTCCTCTCATCAGCGACCCTGTTTTTAAGCTCACCACAAAGTTGCACCTTTTCCCTTTTTTTCAGTAATTCTATTACTCCTGCTCCCACCTCTGTTTTTTTTTGCTGAGTGAATCATCGTTTCCCCCCATAAATTTATTTTTTTTCCAGCGGCTTTAGAAGATATTTTCACTGTTAATAGACCAAGAATTAAATAAACGACAATTACATACTATGATAAAAATATTGCAAACAGAAAGAGTGAAGAGAAAAAGAGAGAGCATGACAAAATACAGGAAGCCGAGTTAATGGGATAAGCTGGAAGCAGCGGCTAGGCTGTACATCACTCCCACACTGATGCATGTGTTCTAGGCTGTACATCACTCCCACACTGATGTCTGTGTGCTAGGCTGTACATCACTCCCACGCTGATGCATGTGTGCTAGGCTGTACATCACTCAGACACTGATGTCTGTGTACTAGGCTGTACATTACTCCCACACTGATGCATGTGTGCTAGGCTGTACATCACTCTGATACATGTGTACTAGGCTGTACATCACTCTAATGCATGTGTGCTAGGCTGTACATCACTCTAATGCATGTGTGCTAGGCTGTACATCACTCCCACACTGACGCCTGTGTCCTAGGATGTACATCACTCCCACACTGATGCCTGTGTGCTACACTGTACTTCACTCACACTGATGTGTGTGCTAGGGTGCACATCACCCCCACACTGACGCTTATGTGCTAGGCTGTACATCAATCACACTGATGCATGTGCTAGGCTGTACATCACTCAGACACTGATGCATGTGTGCTAGGCTGTACATCACTCCCACACTGATGCATGTGCTAGGCTGTACATCACTCCCACACTGATGCATGTGTGCTACCTTTACATCACACCACACTGATGCTGTGTGCTAGGCTGTACATCACTCCCACACTGATGCATGTGTGCTAGGCTGTACATCACTCCCACCTGATGCATTGCTAGGCTGTACATCACTCCCACACTGATGCATGTGTGCAAAGGCTGTACATCACTCCCACCTGATGCATGTGTGCTAGGCTGTACATCACTCCCACACTGATGCATGTGTGCTAGGCTGTACATCACTCCCACACTGATGCATGTGTGCTAGGCTGTACATCACTCCCACGCTGATGCATGTGTGCTAGGCTTACTTTCACTCCCACACTGATGCATGTGTGCTAGGCTTTACATCATCCCACACTGATGCATGTGTGCTAGCCTGTACATCCCCTCCCACGTGATGCATGTGTGCTGGGCGTACATCACTCCCAATGATGCATGTGTGCTAGGCTGTACATCACTCCCACACTGATGCATGTGTGCTAGGCTGTACATCACTCCCACGAGATGCATGTGTGCTAGGCTGTCCCATCACTCCCACACTGATGCATTGTGCTAGGCTGTACATCACTCCCACACTGATGCATGTGTGCTAGCGTACATCACTCCCACACTGATGCATGTGTGCTAGGCTGTACATCACTCTCACGCTGATGCATGTGTGCTAGGCTGTACATCACTCTCACGCTGATGCATGTGTGCTAGGCTGTACACCCCTCCCACGCTGAAGCATGTGTGCTAGGCTGTACATCACTCCCACACTGATGCCATGTGTGCTAGGCTGTACATCACTCCCACACTGATGCATGTGTGCTAGGCTGTACATCACTCCCACACTGATGCATGTGTGCTAGGCTGTACATCACTCCCACACTGATGCATGTGTGCTAGGCTGTACATCACTCCCACGCTGATGCATGTGTGCTAGGCTGTACATCACTCCCACACTGATGCATGTGTGCTAGGCTGTACATCACTCCCACACTGATGCATGGTGCTGGGCCCTGTACATCACTCCCACACTGATGCATGTGTGCTAGGCTGTACATCACTCTCACCCCCTGATGCTTTTGTGCTAGGCGTACATCACTCCACGCTGATGCATGTGTGCTAGGCTGTACATCACTCCCACGCTGATGCATGTGTGCTAGGCTGTACATCACTCCCACACTGATGCATGTGTGCTAGGCTGTACATAACCCCACACTGATGCATGGTGTTTAGGCTGTACATCACTCCCACACTGATGCATGTGTGCTAGGCTTTACATCACTCCCACACTGAGGGCATGTGTGCTAGGCTGTACATCACTCCCACGCTGATGCATGTGTGCTAGGCTGTACATCACTCCCACACTGATGCATGTGTGCTAGGCTGTACATCACTCCCACACTGATGCATGTGTGCTAGGCTGTACATCACTCCCACACTGATGCATGTGTGCTAGGCTGTACATCACTCTCACGCTGATGCATGTACTACGCTGTACATCACTTACACTGATGCTTGTGTGCTACGCTTTACATCACTATGTAGTGCAGGCTACCCCGTGGCAAAAGTTCTCGCTGCACACGGCGAGGGTCCCGGCGAAGGGGTGGAAACATTGGACCTGTTTCCTCACACCTGCTGACTATTTTCACCCATCAGTATAAAATGGGTAGCTGGGTGTTAGTCAACTGGCGCGGGTCGCATCCTGGGACAAAACTGACCTGATTTGCCCAAAATGCTCCGCATAACAAGCGGCTTTATAGTAGTATGTTGTTGATGTTAGCTATGGTCTGTATACCTTGTACATGTACTTGTAGAAAAAAATATTATTATTATTATTAATATTAGACTTAGTTACTGCTAGAGACTCAACTCACAATACCGTGGCTATAAACAATTCTGGACCACTGTCAAGTTTCCTCTCCTAAATGCATGTTATTTGTGAATTAGTTATTGCTTTACTAAATAATAAAGACATATTACATTTGTATATATACCAATGGCATCTGTATGGCATAAACAATTTGAAAGTTTTTGTTTCGTTGCTTTATCATCCTATGGCTATTGAAGGAAGTTTCAACTTAATATCTTTATTACACACCTCATACCCATCCTATAGGTGGTAATCAAAAGATTACAGAGGCACATATGGGTCCAGGCACTGGGCACCAAATTTTGATAGCTAAATGAGTTAGTGGTAATGAACTAGTTACATGTTTATATCTGGTTACAATCGTAATGATTATTTATGCAGACATGAATCAAGTCACAAACGTATTAATTGTAGCTTATATGTGGTTGTGAATTATTTGTATTCCATTATAGTTTAACAAGGTATGGTTTAATTTAAACAAGTTTAAATATTTATGAATTATTGACAACAGACAGATGGGGTATTTTTTCCAGAATGGTTTGTAAAATACAACTGTGACAGCCTGGTTGATCAGGCCCTGACCCACCTCACGGTGGGTCAGGGCCGCGAGGGCGCTGACTCTCGGAATGCCCTTTAGGTATACTCCAGGTGGGTAAAATACTTTGACATTTCTTAAATGTTCGTGAGTGAGTTTTCTGAATTCATTATTTTATCACATTCCAGCACATAATGACGCAAAGTGTGACAGTTGTCCATCTGGCAAGTTTACATTTAAATATGTCTACATCAGCTGGTCATGCTGCTGTAACCTCCCAGAGATAATTTAGCCAGAGCCGGGAGGTAGTGATATCCAGAGGTCTGCTTATTTTGTTGGATTTGCCAGTTCATTAGTTCTATTATTTATCTGAATATCAATGTCAGAATCCACAGGTGTACCCTGATTCTACTCTACAGTTGTATCATACAGTCCTGTCATACAAGGACCCCAATGGAAATAAGTCACTTTGTTTGACTTTTTTGGGTTATCCTAGGCAATCTACACATATTCTGTGTATGATAATTTATGTAACTGTATTTATGTGTACCTGTACCTGAATAAATTTAATCATGCCTATGTCTGGCTTCTGACATAAGCATGCCACAATTGATACTCAAGGAGTTAAGAGCATTTATGGATGATAGAGAATCAGTTACAATTAAGGTGTCAACCTTAGATACAGATGCGAATGCGATAGTTGTTGGCCCTATTACGAGAGACGGTTAAGCAACCGTTGGATTATCCCACCGACTCAGAGACGTGAGCGTTGCCTGGGAGTTGTGTATAATATTACACCTGACGACCCACGTCCCAGTCCCCATGGCGCCCCTGCCAACCCACCCCCACACTGCCTTCAATATAATCCTCATACCTGATGCATCAACCACACCCCATGAACCACAGCACCTGGTGCATGTTCATACAGCCCGTGTTTGTCATCGTGCATGACGAGAGGTTGGTTTCCGAGGTATTAGGCTACTGAGATGAATGTGTGTGTGCTCACCCTGCCGCTCTTAACATGGGATAACATTCTGCACGTATATTTTTGCTTATTGACGGTGAAAGTAGTTAATTTAGCCTAGATTAACTATTTTTTTAGGCCTAGTGACTGATAATATGTAGCTACGTAAATCGCTCCGATACAGACTGTATTGTTATAGACTACATGAAATTCGTTATCATTATAATGGAAATAAGCGCCAAACCCATATTGGTCATACATAATAACATAAGAAAGAAAGAACATTGCAGCAGGCCCACTAGCCCATGAGAGGCAGGTCTAAGTCACCCACCGGCCATTGACCCAAGCTAGTCAGGTCCAGGTCACATCCACTTAAGGAAGAAGCACTCAGACTTATCTGCACAAGCTAGTCAGGTCCAACTCACCCATCCATACCCACTCATGTATTATCTAACCCATTTTTAAAACTACAATGTTTTAGCTTCACTGACGGTACTCGTGAGTTTGTTCCACTCATCCACAACTCTATTACTAAACCAGTGCTTTTCTATAGGAAAGCAGTGGTTGAGATTCAGTGCTTTCCCCAATTTTCCTCAGTAACTTCTTATGTGGAACTCTTTCAAAAGACTTACTGAAGTCCATACACACAACAGCATATTCAGTACCATGATCTACCTCCTCAAATGCCGTAGTGAAAAAAGTTAGTAAATTTGTAAGGCAAGAATGCCCCTTTGTAAAACCATGCTGATCGTCATCAATCAGTTTATTCCTGTCAAGATGGCTACGAACTGCCTCGGCAATTATTGATTTAAAAAAATTTCCCAATATGGAGGTAATGCTTAGTGGTCTATAGTTCGAAGCTAATGACCTGTCTCCTGCTTTGTAGAAAAGTATCACATTTGCCATTTTCCACTTGTCTGGCACTATGCCAGTTTGTAGTGGTATGTTGAAAAGATTAGCCAGAGGTTTGTTAAGTTCCTCTTTACATTCCTTTAAAACCCTTGCAAACAGTTCATCAAGGCCTGGGAATTTGTTAGGTTTTAATTTCTCTATTTGTCTGAGGACCATGTCACTAGTTACCCTTAATCGTGGCTTAGTTTATTATCGTCCTGTTCTACATAATTTATTTCTGGGATTTCACTAGTATCTTCCTGTGTAAAAACTGAGAGGAGGTAAGTGTTAAAAATTTTACACATTTCCTTATCATTGTCGGTGATTTGACATAGTTACTTTTGAGTGGGCCTATCTTGTCCCTAATCTTACTTCTATATACCTGAAAGAATCTTTTGGGTTATCTTCAAATCCCTTGCAACTTTAGCGTCATAATCTTCTTTTCCTTTTCTCATTCCTTTTTATTTATTTCTCTCTCTGACTGACATTTTCCCCTTATCAGTGTTTGTGGATGCATAATACAGGTTAGTTTAATATGTTTATTATGCACCCCATACCCATCCTGTGGGCGGTAGTCAAAAGATTACAGAGGTACATAATTGGTCCAGGGACTGGACTCCAAAGTTTTGATAGCTGAGCAAGTTACAGAGGTAATGAACTCACAATTTACAAAGGTAATGAACTCACAATTTACAAAGGTAATGAACTCACAATTTACAAAGGTAATGAACTCACAATTTACAAAGGTAATGAACTCCAGGTAAGTCTGGTCACAATCATGACAAGTTACAAAGGTATTTACAGATTACAGAGGTACGTAATGGGTCCAGGGACTGGGCCCCCAAAGTTTTGATAGCTGAACTAGGTACAAAGGTAATGAGCTCACAAGTTACAAGTTACAAGTTACAAGTTACATAATACAGGGCAGGAGTATTTTGTGGATACATATACAGGGCAGGAGTGGTTGTGGATACATATACAGGGCAGGAGTGGTTGTGGATACATATACAGGGCAGCAATGGTTGTGGATACATATACACGTTAAGAGGACAATATTTATGGATACACGATGCAGGGAAGAAGTACTACTTGTGGATTTATACAGAATAAGTGGCGAGTGTTTATGAATACATAAAGAGTAGGACATAAGAACATAACATAACAAAGAAGGAACACTGCAATAGGCCTACTGACCCATGCGGAGCAGGCCCATGTCCCCCCCCCCCGGATAAGACCAATGACACCCCCCCCCGGATTAGCCAAATGACCCACCCAGTATGGCCATCTCCACTCAAGGATGGAGCACTGCACCATACCCAGCAGCACAAGCTAGTCAGGTCCAACTCACACCCACCCACACCCACTCATGTATTTATCTAACCTATTTTTAAAACTACGCAACGTTTTAGCCTGAATGACTGTACTCGGGAGTTTGTTCCAATCATCCACAACTCTGTTACCAAACCAGTGCTTTCCTATATCCTTTCTGAATCTGAATTTTTCCAACTTGAAACCATTGCTGCGAGTCCTGTCTTGGCTGGAAATTTTCAGCATGCTATTTACATCCCCTTTATTTATTCCTGTTTTCCATTTATACACCTCAATCATATCCCCCCTAATTCTACGCCTTTCGAGAGAGTGCAGATTCAGGGCCCTCAGTCTATCCTCATAGGGAAGATTTCTGATACATGGGATCATCTTTGTCATCCTCCTCTGTACGTTTTCCAGAGCATTTATATCCATTCTGTAATACGGTGACCAGAACTGAGCAACATAGTCTAAATGAGGCCTAACCAAGGATATATAGAGTTGAAGAACAACCTGAGGACTTCTATTATTTATACTTTTAGATGTGAAGCCAAGAATTCTGTTAGCTTTATTGCAAACACTAATGCACTGTTGTCTTGGTTTTAAATTACTGCTAACCAGAACTCCTAAATCCTTTTCGCAATCAGTAGTATTAAGATCTACATTATTTAGTTTATATGTGGCATGGTTATTTACCTGTCCAACATTTAGAACTCTGCATTTGTCAATATTAAACTGCATCTGCCACTTCTCCGAACATTGCATCAGTTTATTCAAATCATCCTGGAGTGCTCTAGTGTCCTCATTAGAATGAATTGGACGGCCATCAGCAAATTTGCTTATGTCGCTATTTATTCCCTCATCTATGTCGTTTATGTAAATTGTGAACAACAACGGGCCCAACACTGACCCCTGAGGAACACCGCTTGTGACGTGCCCCCATTCTGAGTGTTTGTGAATGCATAATCCACGGTAGGACAGTGTTTTTGGATACATAATAGAGGATAGGAGAGTGTGTGGATACGGATACAGGGTAGGAGGTGTTGCTACAGGTGTCTTGGTCATGAAGAAGCTAGAAGGGGAACTGCGGCTGGAGCCAAGGACGCCACATGATCTCAGCGACATTGGCTAACTGGGAAGGTGCGTAGCGGACTCTGTGATGCCACTGCTTCAGGTAATTCTGCAGAGACCTCACCACTCTTATGTATCTGAAGCAAACGCATAAAGCAGATTTGATACAAGTATTATTACAGCACATGCAATAGATACAATAAATAAATACAATAAATAGATACAATAAATAAAATGAAAAATATACCACAAGTTCTTGACGAGGCTATTAGTACAAACTGTAAGACATGTGAAGGGAAGTTCTTTGATACGGATTATTCCTGAGGTGCTGTGTTGCCTCTATAATTTTAGAACCTTCCGTGAATATAAACAGTGCAAATTACAAATCTAATAAAAAAAAGTTTTAAGTGTATATATTTGTTACTCTGCATTACTATTTTGGTAATCTGTTGCATATATTTACCACTTGATTAAAAAACAAAAAAGTGTGGGATGCTGAAATAGTTGAAATCAAAGTTATAAGATAAAGAGGTACCCAGGAAGATGACTTGAAGGAAGCAATAACTGATCCACATTACTGAAACAACACCAACAACAACGTAATAACAATACTGATAATAATAATCTTTATTCCTATAAAATACATGATACAACTGATACAGACCTAGATGACATTATTATCATACTTTATATGATGGTGTTGAAGCAGGTGCAGGGAAGAAGTGTTTACAGTAAGGTACTATAAGAGACCCGGCCAGTGATCAACACCGTCAAGACAACACTTACTGTGTCAAGTTTTGTTTAGTTGTATCATACAATACAATTTTTATTTAGGAGGTACAAATAATGTAGTTTACATGTAATAAAACACTGGTAGGCACAAAAGAACGTCACTAATATGCAATGTATTACAGGTCCTAATGTTTAACTGTTACTTGAGATTTAGATATAGACTATTAGGTAGGATTTCTTATGCAGTTTACAATCATATGTATAATAAGAAAGGCAGCTGATGAACAAATGGTACAATTTCAAAAGTATGACTTATCAAACTGATTCAATAATTTTCAATTTTGTGGAGTGGTTGAAGAGAGAAGCTGAAGACATGGAAGTTACTTAGTTACAACAGAAATACAATGAGACATATTTCATAATTTCTCGAGGTGTCTGAAGCAGAGGTGTAGGAACTAAAAGAGACAAGAGTAAATAATAAGAAAATAAAAACAAAAAAATAAAGATGAAAGGTAATGAAAGAAAGAAAAAGAAGGAAAGGAACAGGAAATAAAATAAAAGGAAAAAGAAAACAACGACTCACTCCTGTGTGCTGGGGTCAATAGGCTGACCCTCCTCGAATGGATCTTTGACGAGGTCATACAACTCCGGCTCGCTGGATATGTCTGTGACGAATTCTTCACCGAAACACAAGCAGCCAGTGTTATAGCCCCAGCCACACTGTGTACTGCCTGGAGACCACTTGTACTTCGCCACGTGCATCTTATACACATGCAGCTCTGTAACATTAAACACGTGTAATAAATAGTTTGAAAACCGACAAGCTGAAGACTGAGACACTTATGCAACATATGGGAATCTTTATATAGAATATAGAACATAAAGATTCCCATATGTTGCATAAGTGTCTCAGTCTTCAACATTAAACACCTATGATGACCTCATCTAAGCACTGACGATGTCAAACTTTAAAATTGTCCCTTGACTGGACTTTATATATATGCTTAAGTCAGTAACAATGATATTGGTTGTTTTGTATAGTTTTTACCTCATTTCTTGCTATTCTACTTGCTTCCCTGTTCTCTACCACTTTGATTAAACCAAGGCCGTTCTCACACGTATTTGAAATGTTAGCTAATATATATTCTCTCTCTCTCTCACCTGTAACAAGTCTGATGGCATGTATATACTGGGCACAGTGGTGAAGGAAAACTCTGTGACCTTCCGGTTGCTTGCCATGGATCAGCAGCTCAGAGATATCCACACCATCCAGCTCCTGTAGACCACAAGCACTTCACACACTGCTTTATGCTACTGAGTCATGAATTATCTCCCTCTTCAAAAAATTAGAACTACACTCTCCTTCCTTGAGTCAAACCTTATTATCTCTTATCCCCCAGGTTTAGTATTCCCCCATGATTAATAATAATAATAATAATGAAAATTAATAATATATCCCAACATCCATTCACCTATCAGGCTGACAGATCACAGTCACCTGTGAGACTGACAGATCATACTCACCTGTCAAGCTGATAGATCAACTCACCTGTCAAGCTGACAGATCATACTCACCTGTCAAGCCGACAGATCAACTCACATGTCAAGCTGACATCATACTCAGCTGCCAAGCTGACAGACCCTACTCAGCTGTCAAGCTGACAGATCATACTCACCTGTCAAGCTGACAGATCAAACTCACCTGTCAGACTGACAGATCAAACTCACCTGTCAGAATGACAGATCCCACTCACCTGTCAGAATGACAGATCCCACTCACCTGTCAAACTGACAGATCATACCTGTCACTGACAGATCATACTCACCTGTCAGACTGACAGATCATACTCACCTGTCAGACTGACAGCTCCCACTCAATCATATTTATGTAAATACATAGAGCAATAGAGGGTAGGAGTGACCTTGTCAGCAGCTGAGGGCACTAGCTGAGGTAATGAGGGAAGGTTAGCAAGGGAGAGCACGGTGGGTAGGAGGTCCATGAGGGAGGTGGGCGTGTCAATGGTCACACCGCTGGGCAGGTGACCTGGCCACCTGAAGATCCCCGGCACCCTGATGCCGCCTTCTGACCCGCCCTGGCCTTTACCGCCTGTAACACGAAGCAAAAATGAGAACAGAGGATAAATGCAGTAGGCCTACTGGCCAGGTCACGTTAAAAGAAGCGCTAGAATGCATACTGACCCTTGAAACGGCCATTGTGGCCCCCGATGCGCTGGCCATCATGGTCTATGGCCTCGAGATGGCCGCCCTGGTCGGAGGTGAAGTAAACAAGTGTGTTGTCCTCGAGACCATATTCTTTGAGAGCGTCTAGCACCACACCCAGACTCTCGTCCATCTCCTCCACGTTGTCTCCGTACCTGTGCAATACAATCACCGTACAGCTACGGTACAATCACTCAAGTTTCACATATAACCACTCTTAGGTTACATTTACATACATCACCTGCATTCCGCACTGATGTTACACAAATATCACCTGTATTCCGCACTTACCTGGAGTATACATGGAGAAAGTTCCGGGGGCCAACGCCCCCGCGGCCCGGTCTGTGTCCAGACCTCATGGTAGATCAGGGCCTGTCCAACCAGGCTGTTACTGTTGGCCGCATGTAATCCAACGTACGAACCACAACCCGGCTGGCTACACATCGCCAGTTTTTTTTTTTTCTCAGAGAAAGAAGAAAACGTGGTGATCAAAGCCTTAATTTGCATTTCAATACGAAGAAAAAACCTTTGGGTAGCATCTGCTTACCTGTGCTGAAAAATCGCAATGTAACTATTAAATGAAATGTAACTATTAAATAAAATATGATTCGCTGCCTGGATGAGGTAGAGTGTGGACGTGCTTTGCACCCCTCTACTGTTTCCCAGACGAGCTAATCAGTCAACGACATGGCGCCAGGTGTGCGCAGGAGAGTGAATACTGTGGGCATTGAACTTATTAGTGGGGCTTTAACACCTACGTCAGTCGATGTGTTATTGCCCAAAATTATACGAGAGACATATGGCATCAGAGACGAGGATTTATATGGAGTGGCACTGAACGGTGTATATAGAATTTTCGTGAAAGTGCTAACTGCTCAAGTATACAGAGCTTTGGTTGATCGTTACCAAGATGTCACATTACTGTAACACCGGCAGTGAGGGTCAAGTTGATTGATGTATGCACGACATTATTCGTGGGTTAAGCTGCCGCAACGTGCCTTTTGAGGCTGATGAGGTAGATATTCGAAATGTTTTCGAACGTTATGGAACTGTACATCTGGCCCAACCTGGCAAATGGGTAAAAGGTGCTTACACAGGATTTCCTGAGGGTTCTTTTAATCTCAAGATGACGCTTAGGCATCCTATACCCTCGTATGTATATCTCGAAGAGTTTAGAACCCAGGTAATGGTAGCGTATGCGGGGCAGAGACGTACGTGCCGACTGTGTGGCGAATTTGACCATATGGCGGCAGACTGTGGCAAGCGGAGTATGGCTCCTGGGCCGGCAAGGGGCGGAGCACCTGCGCATGAGCACCCGATGCCTAAGGAAGAACGGGGACAAGGAGGAGGGCGTGGTCGCATGTGGAGTGAAGAGGTAGTGGCTCCTCCAGTGGAATCGGAAGAAGTGGTGATCCATGAATCACCTGGCCCATCAACAGTGGCTCCTGGGCCGGCAAGGGGCGGAGCACCTGCGCATGAGCACCCGATGCCTAAAGAAGAACGGGTGCAAGGAGGAGGGCGTGGTCGCATGTGGAGTGAAGTGGTGGTGGCTCCTCCTGGGGAATCGGAAGAAGTGGTGATCCATGAATCACCTGGCCCATCAACAGTACAGTTGTCAAGTGAGGAGGTACAGGAGGCGCAGCAGTGAAGGCTATTGAGGAGGAGTTGGAGACGGTGATACAGGCTATGTTACAGTCTACGGAGGTGGAGAGTTACAGCGAACAAGACCCTGGATCAGGGCAGAAGGTGTGTGTGGGAAGGGGAGGATCAGGTGGCACCTGTGGTGGACAGTGCGAGTGCCAGGGAGGGGCATGGAGGCGGATTAAGGGTGGTAGAGGTGGAAGTCCATTGTGCTGGCTCCCAGGACTCAGATATGGAAACTGAGGGAGCTACAAGGAAAAGGGCAGCAGCGTCAGATTCGGACGATGTTCTGACACCGGCGCAAAGGCCGGGGAAAAAGACATGGGGTTATGGTACCCAGAGTGACTCTGCGAGAGGGCCACAACAGAAGGGGGGGGCTGGTTGGGAAGGAGGGGGGAATCTGTGGCAAAGGCACAGTCCAGGGGAACGGTCTGAAAGGGAAGAATCTTGACATGAGGCGGGGAAGGAAACCTTAAACTGGCCTCAGGTGTGTAACAATAAATATTAATGGTCTGTGTGATGGTGTTAAACGGGAGTGCTTCAGGATGTTTTTTGAATAGGTATAAGGTTGACGTAGCTTTTGTGCAGGAGCACAATTTTAAGCTTGGTCGTGAATTAGTGGTGCCTGGGTATCAGGCTTATGTGTTGCCGTCTGAGCGTTTAAAAGGAGGAGTGGGTGTGTTGATCACGGAGGCGGGCCCGTTTGTATTGCATAGGAAAGAGGGGGGGAGGGGGAGAGTATTACGTGTGGAAGGATGGTGGATGGGAGAGAGAGTGGCGTTTGTGTGTGTGTATGCCCCAGCAGAAAGTGACGTGAAAGTGAAGATGGATTTTGTGCGGGAGGAGCTCGTGTATAACCTACCACACTTACCGTCTGTCACGATTGTGGGGGGGGATTGGAATTGTGTAATTAAGAAGACAGACGTGGAACCCAGAGGAGCGGAGATTTTTCCTCAGTCTTGGGGGCCTGCTTAGAGATCTTCAGTTACGTGATGCTTTCGGGGGAGGTCTGTGGGAGGTGGAACATACGTTTATAAGAAGGGGATATGCGGCTCGTTTGGACAGGTTATATTTATCTCAGAGGTTTTGGTAGAGTCTTTTAAAACTATAGAGATGGTGTCTTCCGATCATAGGGCGGTATTAGTGGAGGTGGGATGGGATGCTTTGGCTCGTAGGCAGGGAAGTTATTGGAAACTGAACACGATGGTTTTGGGGGATAGGGAGGGAGTGGAAGCGTTTGCAATATTTTGGGAACAGCTCTGTGGCCGACAGAAGAACTGAGGAAGACGTGGTAGGATGGTGGGATAGTGTGGCTAAGTTACGAATACGTCATTTTTATTTGAGGGAGGGCAAACGCATTAATCAATTGCGGTATGGTTTGTCAAATTACTTAGAATCTAGATTACGGAATTGTTACGAGGGGGGGGGCGGTGGCCGGGGTGTACCCGGGGAGGATATACACATGTTGAAGGACAGAATACGGGATTTGCAAGAAGAACGTTTTGCAGCTGTACGGGTACAGGCGGGGTTAGACGAAGTACTCTGGGGCGACAAGCCATCAGCTTGTGTGCTGCGAGGACAGAAGGTACGACAGCGAACGACTACAATACCGGGTTTGCAAGTCATATCTTCTGTGGGGGGTTTTAGAGAGGGTCAGGTATTAAGGGACACCAAGGGGATGAGTGCATATGCAGATAGATGGTTTGAGGAATACGGGAAAAGTAGTGGGGTGGATGGTGAGGTTCTTGGGAAGGTATGTGAGTATGTGCCGTGCAAACTGGGGAGGAGTGATCGGGAGGCACTGGGTGGGGTCATTGAGGAGGGGGAAATATGGAGAGCCCTTATGGACATGAGGAAGGGTAAGGCACCCAGGATCGATGGTTTACCTAGCGAATTTTATGTACAGCACTGGGGTCTGCTTAGGGGTTTCCTAGTAAGGTTAATGAATGCCATGAAAACGGAGGTAAGATGGGAGAATCTCAGGCAACGGCGGTGGTGGTGTTGGTCCCAAAGGTAAACAGCAGAGTACCCTTCGGGATTATCGAGCCATTTCATTGCTTTGTGCTGATTATAAATTATTTGCGAAAATTCTTGGGAATCGGCTTAAATGTGTTGTGGGGAGGGTCGTGTTTGAGTCTCAGTTTGGTTTACCTGGTAGGTCAATGAGCGTGGGCCACGGGATTATCAAGGGGTTCCTGGAGGACATGGAAAGGGAAAGAGGAGCGTTGGTGGCGTTGGATTGGCAAGGGGCTTATGATAGGGTGGAAAGAAAGGCTTTTGAGGATATTCTCCTACGACAGGGGTTTGGCGAAGAAATAGTGGGGTGGGTGGATACGTTGTACTCAAACGCGAAGGTAAGGGTGCAAATCAATGGGTGTGTGGGGGGGGAGTCAACATGGAGCGGGGTCTTCGGCAGGGATGTCCTTTATCACAAATATTGTTTGCATGTGTTCAGGATCCCTTTTATAGGATGGTGGAGGATCGTCTAAGGACGGGGGGGAGGGATGGTGAGCTGAAGCCGTGGCCTGGTTTGGTGGGCTATGTTGATGATACCACTATTTTGGGCAAGTGAGGAGACACGGTTAGGACTTTTGGGGGAAGTTGTACACACTTTTGGGAGAGCTACTGGGATGAAGGTAAATCTGGAAAAGTCAATGATCATGGGGCTGAATGATCATGGGGCTGGGAGAGTGGACAGAGAGATTAGATTGGGGATGTGATGTTGTGCAGCGGAGGACCGGGAGTCTGAAAATCTGCGGTGTCATGTATGAGGCTGACCTGAGTGCTGCAAGGGTTAGCAATTCGAATAGGATGGTGGAACAGGTGCAGCGACGGTTGGGAATGCTGCGACCTCACCATTTAACCCTTAGGCAACGTGTAATTGTCATCAATGTATTACTATATAGTAAAGTCTGGTTTGTTTCGGCTGTGATGCCGTTAACAGGAACGGCGATCACGAGTATTCTTAGAATGGTGTTCAAATTTTTGTGGGGTTCAGGGTGCAACTGGTTGCGAAGGGAGGTAGTGACATTGCCGGTATGTAGGGGAGGGTTGGGTTTGTTGGACTTGAGAAAGCGCGTGAAATGTGTGTTTATTAAGAGGGAAGTGATGAGTGCAGGTGGTTGGAGGGAGGGTCAGCTAGATATGGTACATGCTCACCTGAGGAAATGGTATGGAGGGGCGGAAATGAAGGAATGCGAGACAGTGTTACGCGCCTTAATGTTAGCCAGGGAACCAGGAAAAGTAAAGGTGGGAACTTTGTGTAAATTGTTAGAGAGACATGTAGTGGCGCCGGTTGAAGGGATCTACCCCATGTATGCATGGGATGTAATATGGCGAAGATTTAGTAAATTAAGGATACGACCTAGGGCGCGTGAGGTTATGTACCGTTTCCTGCATGGGATTTTGCCAACGGGAGCGATGCTCCGAGATAGGAGGGTTATTGAGGGTGGGGGGTGTGGCAGATGCAGTGGGGAAGAGACTGCGTATCATGTCGTCTATTTTTGTGAAGGTTTGGAGTGCATCAGGGTATGGATGCGTAAGGTAGTGGTGAGGGTGGGGGGTCAAGGTGTGGCGGTATTGCGAGCGTTGAGTCTTGATATGAGTGGTGTGGAGGAGAGTGTGGTAAGAGGTTTAGCATATGTCATCGTGGACTACATATATGTTTTATGGGGTATGAGGGGGAAGGTGGGTGGGGATGTGCTGAGAAGGACTTTGGCGGCGACGTTTTATCGAACTTTGTGTCGCAACAGAGACATTTTTGGAAAAGGTGGAAGAGTATTTTTCTGAGGGTTATAGAGGACTAACAATAGGGAATTTATTGGCGTTATAAGGGGCTTTAACTGCCGGGGTGAGTGGGTTGGTAAAAGGGGGGGGGGGTTCAGGGGATTTCAACGGGCTCACCTCCTTGGGAATGCAGTGATGTGGTTGGGTGTGATTGGAGGTACTAGTGTGTGACCAGATGAGAGGTTGTGCAAGATAAGTTTTGCTTAGTTCCCTTGATGGGGAAGGTGTAAGGAGCAGATTAAATATAACATGTATTAATGTATAACCTATAAATTATATAACATGTATATTTCTTTGGTAGCGTATTATGTTCCACTTGCACTGGTATTGCAATTGAATTTGAATTTTCTTGAGAGGGTTTTCCTTTCACTATTTCCTTGAAGCACTGAGTTATTTTTGTTTTTTTTTTGTAACGTGGTCCAGCATCAGTTTTGGTAGTAATTACCTATTATTATTGTTCTTATTTAAGGTATTGTAATTTTGGTAGTCCTGTACCATTCATGGTTGTAAATAATGTTTCCTCAAGTGACATGTGTCATAATAATCCTAAATTGAGGATAATTAATGTCATGATTATTCAGGTTGGTGATGGGGTTAGTTTTCAATGTGTGTGTGTGAGTGGGGGGGGGGAGGGATGATGGGTCACCTGTGTTGCAGCACAGGTTTCTTAATAAGGCATATTGTAGGTCTGGTGTATTTGTTGCGAGTGGTATTATGGGTGATTGTCATTAAGCTTGGAGCATTATTGTGTTGAGGTTGTAATTTTAGGAGTTTTATTAATAGCCATTTTGTGGCCTTTGTTATTATAACTTTATTCCTTCTTAAATTGTGATATGTTATAAAAACTTGTATATAGTAGACTGTCAGATGTTGCCTGGATTGTTTTGTGTTTATATATTGTTTTACTGATGTTGTCCTTGATCATTTTTTTTAAATATGTACCTATTAATATTTGTACATGAAGTTTTAAATAAAATATAAAAAAAAAATTAAATAAAATGTAACCATTACATGAAATAAAGGAATCTTGAACCCGTGGTCTAGAGGTTCTGACACTAGCAGATGAACACTAATTTTCTGTGGTGCAATAGTTAGAGCGTTGGACTGGCTTTCTTATGACAGCCAAACCACTGGTTCGAGGCTCGTTCACTCCTTTATTTATTTATTTATTTATTTATTAATTTGAACATGATACAGAGAAGTACAAAATAATACAGTTAAATGCAGCATGTCAAAGCCACTTGAATGCATAGCATTACGGGCAGGCTTAAAATTAACTTAAGATTAACTAAGCAAGATGTTCATTAGTAACTGTTCACTATGAGAGGAGGTGCTCACCTTCCGTGTTTGCTGACCCCAGCTCTGTAAGGCGCCGAGAACATGGGCGTGTGCACGTGGGGGAAGGAGTGGAAGAGGAAGAAGGGGCGGTCATCGTTGGCGTGGGCTGCCAGGAACTCTCGTGACTCTTGAGCGAGGCGCTGCGACAAGCCATCTAGCTGTATAGGCTTCTCCACCACCACGTCGTCTCTCAGTAACATAGAGTTAAGGAAGCGGTGCATCCAGGGAGACATCTGTAAAACACCGAAGATCGCGGTGGGGATGTTTTGTTCGTCAATATAATACAAATGCCTCCTGATACGGGACATTGTCAGATTATCACCCTCAGTCCAAACACATAAAAACTTCTTGATTACAAATATATTAATCCCTCTTCCAATTTCATTGCTTTAGCCAGTAATAAAAACTAGAGCATTCATATACCCGTGTCCAAGCTTGAACCTAGGCACATCTTAACTCGGTATAATCCTAAGCGAGTAAAAATTTGTACATGTTCTGAAGTAATGTAAACTAGTACTGGCGACTGACAAGAACATTATGAATTATAACAATAAAACAGGTAATGACAAAATATAAACTAATTAACTTGTCAGTCATGGGTAAGGAAAATGTATATCTTGCTAGTTCTACTTACACTTAGGTCACAGTACACATGCATGTACAATCATATATACACACATCCATCTGGGTTTTCTTCTATTTTCTTAATATAGTTATTGTTCTTTATTTCCACTTGTCTCCATGGGGAAGTGGAAAAGAATTCTTCCTCTGCAAGGCATGCATGTCGTAAGAGGTGACTAATATGCCGGGAGCATTTTAGTCACCTGTATATATTAATTTAAAAAGAAAAACTTTTGTTTTCCTTTTCAGGTCACCCTGCCACGGTAGGAGACGGCCGGTGTGTTAAAAAAAAAATAAGAGAGATGTTACCATATAATACTACTCTCATAAAATTCGTTCACTAAATATTATTAATGACAACTAACATCTTATATCACCATATGAATTAACTTCATTAGTACCAAGGGGTGCTGATGTCTCCTACACAATATTAAGGGCACAACTTATTCAGTCTTTTCCCTAGTTCGTAAGTGGAAGAAAAGTTCTAATGATTCTAAGATATGTAGATTTTTGAAGGAATACATTTTTGATAACTTGTGCAGATGAAACCTAAGATGATCCAATGTCAGTGTGAGTTATTTCCATATTTTCATACAGTACAAGGGTAAAGACTTACGTGCCAGACACAGTCGTCGTTTTCTGAGATGTGAGCGAAAACGAACCACACGAGGAAGAGGAGAAAGTTGGTAATGACAGCAAAACTGAAGAGTACTGAGAAGCGCACAGTGCGCTTCTTCCAGGCCACCAGCAACGTCAGTACCGTCACCAGCCATGTCACCGCCAGTCCCTTAACAACACACACACTTCATGTTATTTACATTAATAGGAGGGCTCATACGACATAAGTCACTGTAACCCTTAAAAGCAACAACAAAATCTACAGCGCTCGGTCATCGAATATTGGAAAGGTGTGTATGTACTTCTATACGTTATAGACTGGCCCACTTTAAGGCCTGTGACTTTTGCCGTATCTTTTATAGTTTTTCACGATTTTTTTAAAATGAATCTAAACAGTCATTATTCCTGCTTACGAGGGATTACAAATGATTGAGAAACACTCAAGTCAAGAACTACACTGCTTAACATTTCAACTTTTCTGATTCCTCTTGGGAAAGTTAGGGCTATCTGATTGGTTACTTGAGGATGACGAAGACCTTATTGGCTCAAAGCACTGTTAGCAATTTCTAGGGCCCTAACTGGACTTTGGAAAGAATAAAATCAGGCCTAAAAAGCTATCCCATACGGGTTAAATATATTCATTTATAGTCCTTTTAGAGTATACATACTTCGTAACTACCAAACAGTATTTCATTCTTACCACCTTAGTTACACAGCATCATTCATTCATATTACTCAACCTTTAACATCTTCACTACACTGCATCATACGTAAGCTGAACAGGATCTCAATTATATGTGGAAATATACAGGCCTATCCTCATCTCTGTTTTCTTTGTATTAACAAGTGTTTATTATATTCTGATTTTCCTACACAAATACACACAGTCACCTGGAATCTGGGTTCGTCCAGCTTGAATATCCAGAAGGGGTGTGGTCCTCGAAACTCCTGGAAGAGTGTGACCGGGATGCCGAAGAAGGACTGGAAGCCGTGTTTCAGAGGCCCAGGACACGAGCGTCCCATCCAGTCACAGTACATACCCAGGTGCCACTTACCTGGGGTGTGTGGAGGAGGATGTGTTAGTGATCAGGTGTACTCACCTAATTGTGGTTGCAGGGGTCGATTCATAGCTCCTGGCCCCGCCTCTTCATTGGTCACTACTATGTCTACTCTGCTCTATGAGCTTTATGGATCCTGCCTCCACTACATCACTCTCCAGACTGTTCCACTTCCTGACAACTCTATGACTGAAGAAATACTTCCTAACATTCCTGTGACTCATCTGAGCCTTCAACTTCAAACTGTGACCCACTGTCTGGAAAATCTCCCAACTCCTGCCCCAAACATCTTACTACTAGGAGATTTCAACCTGAGACACCTAAAATGAGGAGTATAGCAAACAATGCTTTAACAGAGATCACCCTGGGAGGCAGCTCAGATGAAAATTCACACAACACGAACTATTAAATCTCTGCAATAAATTCACCTTAAACCAGAAAATAGTAGAGCCTACAAGACTAGAAAATACACTGGACCTCATCTTCACTAACAATGACGATCTGATACATAATAAAACTGTATCAAAGACAATTCACTCAGATCACAACATAATAGAGGTACAGACATGTATGCACAGGGCTCCGGACCAGCAAAATGTGAGCAGTCATGAAGGTCTCTTCACGAAATTCAATTTCAATAACAAAAACATACAATGGGATCAAGTAAACCATGTTCTAAATGAAACAGGCTGGGAAGATATCCTAAGCAACACGGATCCGAACATTTGCCTTGAAAAAATAAATTATGTGGTTCTTGAGCTCTGCTCAAGACACATTCCATTAATAAAAAGAAAAAAAAAAGATGTAAACTAGAAAGAGAGAGACGTTACAGAGCTGCTGAGTGGGGTCAATATATCTGAAACACGAAGGGAGGCACTAGTCAATGAAATTGCAAATATCGAACTTATGCTGAAGGAATCTTATAGGAGACAAGAATCACAGGAAGAACTAAAAGCCATAAAGGAAATTGAAAAAAAGAATACTTCTTCTCTTATGCCAAATCTAAGGGAAAAACAACATCCAGTATTGGGCCCCTGCTTAGGCGAGATGGGACATACACAGATGATAGCCAAGAAATGAGTGAGATACTAAAGTCCCAATATGACTCAGTGTTCAGCGAGCCACTGCCCACTCTAAGGGTCGACAATCCAAATGAATTCTTTATGAACGAAATCCAAAATTTGGTCATCCCAAAAATCTCGGATATTATTCTAACTCCACAATACTTTGAAGAGGCAATTAATGACATGCCCATGCACTCTAGCCCAGGCTCAGACTCGTGGAACTCCGTGTTCATCAAGAATTGCAAGAAGCCCCTATCGCGTGCCTTCAGCATTTTATGGAGAGGGAGCATGGACACAGGGGTCATCCTACACACACTAAAAACAACAGACATAGCCCCATTCCACAAAGGTGGCAGTAAAGCAACTGCAAAGAACTACAGACAGATAGCACTAACATCCCATATCATAAAAATCTTTGAGAGGGTTCAAAGAAGCGCACTAACATCCCATATCATAAAAATCTTTGAGAGGGTTCAAAGAAGCAAGATAGCCAACCACCTAGATACCCATCAGTTACACAACCCAGGGCAACACGGGTTTAGAGCAGGTCGCTACTGCCTGTCCCAGCTACTGGACCACTGTGAAAAGGTCCTGAATGCTGTAGAGGATAAACAAAATAACAGATGTAGTATACACAAAACTTTGAAAAAAGCTTCGACAAGTGTGACCATGATGGGGCCCCGTGCGGCCAAAAGCAGTTCTCGGGTATTGAGCTCACCTATTATGCTTACCTGCGTATATGTGTGTACATGTATGCCTGCATATCTTTGTGCATGTATCCATGTGCTTGTGTATACATATATTCCTATGTACATGTGCGTTCAAGCACGTACACGTGTGTATCAGTGTCAGTGGCTAAAAGATGAACAGAGGTGAGAAATCTTTTTCCCTTCACCATTTATCTTAATTGCGTTATCATCCACAAGGTAACACAAAAAAGACAAGATAACTGCTTTAAGAGTTTAAGGATCAGAACTGACCTATTAGAGCGGTGGTATAGTTGGCAGCAGCTAGGGCAGATCCCAGGGTCACTTCGTCAAGGGGTAAAGCTGCCCGGCTGGCTGCGTGTACAATCACTGGCGCCAGCACCGGCGCTTTGTATACCAGACCTATGCAAGCAAACACGCACCAAGGTTAAACATTTTTTAGGCATTATGACTGTAGCTACGGGTATTGCATATAATGTTAACTATTTGAAGCAAAGTATATTTTCATTATGTGATATACTTACACATGGTACATACACCTACAACATGTAATTTACACTTAAAATATGAGATGGAAATTGAACCTAGTCTAGAACCGCTTATCACGTATAGGCTTCATGCAGACACATTGCAATTATACTTCCATTCCTCAGGTAATTAATTAATTTTACGCACTTAGCGCTTTCTAAGAATTTATTAAAAATAGAAAAATTTTTGAGTCAGTTAGGTTTTTTAAATTTTCAATAGTGTAATTGTAAAATGCGCGGACGTTTGTGTGATGGGCATTCGTCCCTCAAAAATTCTTCCTTCAAATTCTCAAATACAGACAGTGTAAAATTTCAGTTTTTTAAAAATGCCTACGAAATGAAACATACCTCACTACTTATATCTGGCTTTTTTTGGGTTACGAAAAACCAAAGGATGAGGCTTACCATAGGTGCGGGGACCGGCAGTGAGCATGCAGACGATGGGGTGCAAAAAGGGTCTGCTGCCGGTGGTGGTCAGTTTGACCTTCAGTGGGAGTCTGCAAATTACCCATGTTGAACCAGTGCCCTAAATGATAAACCCAAATGCCCATGTCTGTTGAACCAGCACCCCCTACATTTGAACCCCCTCTCTTCCCCCGCCCTGTTTCGGTCCGGGGCTTGACCTGGTCCAGCATGGAACCTAACGTCATGAATCCGACTATGAAAAGCGGAAAAAAAAGGGGGTATAAAACACCGAAAAATGGAAAAAAACACAAATGCAGTTAATGTATCCTTATTGACTACGTTTCGCCACACAGTGGGCTTTTTCAAGTCACAAACAAAATTTTTGGTTTGTATTTGAAAAAGCCCCTGGGGGGCAAAAAAGTAGTAAATAAAGGATCACATTATACTGCTTTGTGTTTTATATTGTCATGATAGCTTCCTTCCCTAGGGGGGGTTATTTGTTAAACCCAGGGGCGTCGTCACTAAACGGGGTATCTGTCATGGAGTCCCCTTCGTCTTCTATGGATAAAACCCTGATTTATCCCACTATCCTAGGTTCCTTATGTTTCCCCTACGTCTTTGCATACGTATAAAAAAAAAGTATATTTACTACCTACCAACTGATAATAATTAAAATAATACTCGTCTATTTTTTTAAAGCCTTTCCCCTAAACACATGGTGCCCAAGATGATCATATTTTTAAATTTGGGCGGATTACTTGACATATGAAGCTTCGGGCCCCTTTAAATCCCAGAGGGGCCCCCAGAACCGACTTACCTGGAGAGAGTTCCGGGGATCAAGCCCCGGGTCCGGTCTGTGACCAGGCCTCCGGGGATCAGGCCCGATCAACCAGGTGTTAGCTGGCTGCAGCAATCCAAATACAGCCACAGCCCGGCTGGTCAGGGGACCCCACTTTAGGTGCTTGTCCATGCCAGCTTGAAGACTGCCGGGGTCTATTGGTAATCCCCCTTATGTACAGAACTGCTCAAGACTGCCCCAAATGCGTGGGAAGTTTTTGCAGTAAAGGTCGAGAAACCCCCAAAATAGTCATTGTGGTATCTCAAGCCTCCGGGTGAAAAAACCCCGCAAATTTCCAGGAACAGCTTTAAAAATTTTACCACTGTCTGGGAAAAACTTTTCCGCTCCTGCACCCAACATCTTTTCCTGGGGGATTTCAACTTAAGGCACTAAAAAAGGGGGGTAAGCAAATAATATTGTTTCAGTAATAACACCCGGGGGCGCTCTGAGAAAACTCCATCCACGAGCTTTTAATCTCTGCACAAAATTTAATTTAAACCCGCAAATAAAGAGCCCACTAGATGGGAATCACAGACCCCATATTTACAACAATGATGATCATAAGAAATGTCACCATATCAAAAAAAAATATATCAGATCCAACATAATTGAGGTTCAGACATGTATGCGAGGAGCCCCCGACGACAAAAAGAGAAGTCCCCAGGGGATTCACCCAAAATTTAAAATTCAATAACAAAAACTAAAGTGGGACCAAATAAAACCAAGTCCTAAACCCAATTTAAACTGGGAAGATATATAAGCAACCAGCCCCCCAAAATTATGCTAGAACGATTAATCGGGGGCACTCGATGTATGCACAAGGCTTATTCCTTTAAGAAAAAGGAGGAGAGATGTTAGAAAGGCCAGGTCCCTTTACAGGCGACGGGAAAAAAAACAGAGCGGTAAAAAGGGCAAAATTTCTAAAGCGCGGGAGACAGGGCAGAAAAAATAGCAAGCTGAACTTAAGCTAAAAAAATCCCTTTTGGAGTCAGGAAACGCGGGAAGAACTAAAAGCTATAAATGAAATCGAAAGAAAACCCCAAAATTTTCTTCCTTCC